AACCTTTCTTACATCTACTCTAGATACAGCCACACACAAAACTAAAAGTCTGTACCTCACGTATGTTTCAAGTTATCAAGCACATGCATGGACGGACTAACGGACACTTTTTCCCAATTCCTCCTTTTTGCTCCGCGAAATAAATGTTGCTTTGTAGAAAAGGAAAACAGTTCAGTTTAAGATTAAAATCCATTAAAACATCTTTATTTCCCTGAAAACAACTAAATGACGATTGTCAGAGCACGTTTTTTTTGGTTTTTTTTACATTTATCTGCACTTTCGTCTAACATTAGCCTCTACATTGACTCTTATATAACGTTTAAATAAATACAACAATTTCCCTTCTAAAGCCTCTTTAAGAAATCCATTTATTTGATTTGTCTGACGCCAGCAGCTGTGTAAATCAGTGTGCAGCCATTAGCAAAAAGCTTTACAGCCTTATAAAGTCTTTTTGCACTCAGCAGCTTAGAGTTTTTTTTCTCCTGAACAGCTCTGACTTCTTCAGAGGTCGTGCACGAGGTTGTTACGGGTCAGGAGCTCTCTGTCAACAGGGTGTAAGGTAACACAACAGCGTTATCTTATTTCCTGCTTTTACTTCGGCATGCCATAGAAAGTAAAACTCATAAAGCTGCTCGTCTGTGAAGCTCTGCTTTAAGAGACAGAGATGATTACATGTGAGTGACTAACGCAGTTCAGTTTAACTCTGGGTTTGATGTATTGTTTGTTAAAGGCAGGAACGTAGTTCGCTCAGTCATTAAAACAAGGAAGCAGCTGCCAAACAAAACAAAAAGGAAGTCTCCCCGTCGGGGAATCGAACCCCGGTCTCCCGCGTGACAGGCGGGGATACTTACCACTATACTAACGAGGAGTTAGCGCACACTCTGCATAAGACTGAAGAAATAGTAGAAACACTAAGAGAGTTTCATAAACGTGACTTCACATGTAAAGGCTAACGTCCGCCTTGCGTTTTTATTCAGTTCAATATATAAATCACACATTTTATAAGAATAATGGCAGGAATATTTGTAGCATTTTCTACTTTGGTTTATATATCAATGGCATTCTTTGTACAAGTATGGCAAACATTTTAAATAATAAAAAATAACTAATAAATTCCAACATGTTTTCAATGTTTGAACATCCTGAGTTCTACTTTGCTGTGAATTATGAGCAGAAATAAAGATTTTAATGAAGGGTGTTTTACATAGGCACATAATAAAACTATTACAGCTCAAGAAAGTGCTAAATTAAAAGCCTTCTAAACGAGATGATAAATCAAAAGTTTATAAACAAGTTTTTTTTTATATATATATATATTTCATGAAGAAAACAGACACCAGACACAAACTGTGTTAAGAAAAAGACTAGACTTTGTGCTGTAGGTTTTAGATCTGTTCTAAAATGTTCAATACAAAAAGATCTGTGTTATACTGCCCTCTTGTGGAGCAAGACGATAAAGAAAAGCGTGAGTGTGGACGAAAAGACGTGCGTGTGCGCTACACTTACCTGCACGCCGTCTGTGCAGCTGATATACAGTTTCAGATTAAAGTAGTCTGGTCTGTTCTCCTGCCAAAGCTGAACAACAAACAGGGGAGTCAGTATTTACTGCACAGACAGGAG